TGTGTGTGTGTGTGTGTGTGTGTGTGTGTGGGTGTGTGTGTGTTTGTGTGTGTGTGTGTGTGTGTGTGTGTGTGTGTGTGTGTGTGTGTGTGTGTGTGTGTGTGTGTGTGTGTGTGTGTGTGTGTGTGTGTGTGTGTGTGTGTGTGTGTGCGTGTCGCATGCGGGCGGTGACACTTGGGCCCTCGGTGGAGCTCCCCGTGGGGCCACAGAACGTGTGAGGGGTGTGCCGAAGTGGGTGTGCGTGACGCCTGCGGGCGGTGCAGGGAGGAGGGGGGGAGGACGGACGGAAAGAGGGAGGGAAAGAGGGAGGGCACGCGGAGACCGTCTCTTCAAAACGAGGACACAACACTGAGAAGTACGTGTCCTTCTCCTCCTCCTCCTCCTCGCCCTCCTCCTGCTGCTCCTCCTAGTCGTCGTCCTCCTCCAAGCGAGAGAGCGACAACGAGAGAGAGAGAGAGATAAAGGAAAAGAGAAAGAGAGAGAGAGAGAGAGAGATAGCGAGAGGTGCATCAGAATGGCAGGCAGAATCACATCGCGAGGGCGCGCCGCAGCGAGGGCCGCGCCATCGGCACTCCCGTCGCAGACTTCGGAGACATCGGCGCGACTGGCGCGGCGCCGTGCGGGCATCCCCTCCCTCCCCGGCGAGGTCGCGGGAAGAGCACTGAGGGGCGCCCGGGGCTCCTGGGAGGGACTCCCGAAGGAGGCCCCCAGAAAGGCCTCCGAAGGTGGCTCCTCGAGGGCAGCTGCTGCGGTACAGGCTCCTGCGGTGGGCTCCCGAGGGAGGAGGCTACTTAGGGGGAACCCTGAGGGAGAGGCTTCTGAGAAAGGAGCGCAAGGCACGCGAGCAGTGCAATCTATTGCACGAACACCGTCGAACAAACAGGCACCGGCATGAGAGGAAGTGGGTGGGATCACGCTTCTTTTGAGAGGAGCAGTCGAGAACGGCCAGGATGATGGGCCTCCAGCCATCTCAACGTGCCGCACGACAGGAACTTATGCTACACAAGCGGATGCAAACATCGAGTGAACAACAATGGAAACAAACCTTTGGTGAACGACTGGCACCGGGAGGGATAACGTGAGCCTCTGAACTTCGAGGGAAGACTGTCCAGTTTGCACGTTCCATCGCCAGGGACTCAGACATGGCCTGCTCTGGAACCCTGAATCCCCCGAAACACACCATAACCTCAAGGGCCAATACGATACTTCTGCCAGGTTTCGCCGAGCTTCTGCTGGCTTCCGCTGGCGGAACCGCCCTTGATTTCATCCCGCTGGCCCTCCGACGTGGAAGAGATCGGTCAACTCATCGAGCCCTCGAAAGCGAGGCCCGATCTAGAATCCGGGACATCCCGCGAGAGTCCCAAACCGCCGCAGGCCACGCGTGTGGGATGCCGGCCCAGAGGCACGGCAAGGTCTGAGGGCACAGTTGTTCATCCACCCTGAAAAACAATGTAGGCCACGCATCCAGATCCGCCTCCACCCCTCCCCCGCCTCCCCCCGACTCCGGAGACTTCGACGACTGCCTGCCAGGCCTCCCCAACTCGACCCGAAACCCCCAATCTCGGGCCCGGGGGGCGCACGGGTTCCGTGGTGCTTCACGACGTTCCGGGATACCCCCCCCCCTGGGCATGGAGAGCAGGATGGGCCTCCGCTGTTGGGTTGGGGCCGGCTTGGCAGGTGGTGATTCTATAGAGAGTTCTCTGGAGGACCCGGGGTCCCCAGGAGGCCCCTGGAGACCTGCGGAAGCCGAAAGGGTGCCAGAAATCTACAGAACCTGTGCTGGGTCCTCGTCGATCCTGGGCACTCCTTGCGCTCACGATTCTCAGCAAGAACCAGTACAGCGCTCCAGACGGGGTGCAGCCCCAGCGAACTGGTGGCTTCTACGCGCGCGCGCGTGCATGCAGATACGGTCGTGCAACGACGCGCGCATGCAGGCCGCTTGCGAGAGTGCAAACACATGTGCACGCACAAGGTCCACGCGTGCTCGGATCCCTCGCCGTTCGCGGTTCGGCACACGCCCCCCCCGCGTCTACGCGCGCCATTCCAACGAGGACGTCTCGCACATGTGGGCATCTCTTGAGCCCCACCGAGGCCGAGCCCTTTCAAAGGAGCCGACCCGACATGGACTCTTTAACGGTTCTCTGCTCCATGACCGAGACGCAAAAAGAGGGGTTCGCCACTGGTGCAGTCAGCGCTGCGGGCGTCAGGGGGACGCATGTATCGGCGGTGGCCAAACCTCCCTTTGGTAAACCTCCCACTCGTGAAAACGGCCTGGGACCGAAACCGACGGACCTGGACCCGCAAAAATGACGGCCGCGACGCCCTCTCGCGAACCGAAAACGGCCAATTCCTTACTCGACGTGTCAGGGTGGGAGGTCTGTCCACCCCCGAATGTATAAGAGAAGGGGCATGCTCGAGAGCTCCAACCGCCCTCCTGGCCGCCAGCATGGCCCGGGCAATTGCGGCGGGAATGGCAGGCGACCTCCAGCCTGAGGGGGGGGGGACCTCCAACACGAGCCGGCCTTCTACGGCATTGCACCGCTATTCTTCATGCCAAAGCGATGGATGTTTTCGATCAAGGCCGAGGCTATACAGTACGACCACTTCGTCTTTGGAGGGTCGCCCGGCACTCGCCGCTCACGTTTTCCTTCGGCACTTGTCGCGAACCTGGGCGCCGCTGGGGCCAACAAGGGACTCCGTTGCTTCCCGAACGTTCCTGGCGGCCACCCAGAACTGCAAGAGCACCCACGTGCACGGGCGAAACAACTGTGCGAGGAGAACAACGGAGAGAGGAAGGAGGAAGACATTGCTGCAAAAAAGCCCTTGCTGTGTGCATTGGGGCGCGCCGAAGGGGGCGCGGGCAGGTCGAAGGGGCCGCCCTCCTAACAAGGGCGGGGGGGCCTTTTTCAGAAGGGCCCGGCCCCCTCGAGGAGGCCTTCGCTCGACAGGAGGGGGAGAGGAAGGAGGGCCTCGACGAGGCAGGGTCAGCCGCGGCGACGAGCGGGGCCCTGGAGATCCAGAAAACGGGGAGGAGAAGGAGGAGGAGGAGGAGGAGGGGGAGGAGGAGGAGGAGGAGGAGGAGGAGGAGGAAGGGGAGGAGGAGGAGGACGAGGAGGAAGAAGAGGAGGAAGAGGAGGAGGAGGAGGAGGAGGAGGGATGAGAAGAAGGAGAAGGAGGAGAGAGGAGAGGGACGAGGAGGAGGAGCAGGAGGAAGAGGAGGACCCCGCGGGCGCGCGAAGAATCCGGCGGAGGGCGTCGCACCCACTTCCGACATGTCCGCGTCCACGCTCGGGCCCTTCCTGCCCGACCGGACCAGGCCGTCCGTCTCGTCCGCGCCAGCCACGGCCGCGCCTCCGCGGACGGTCGCAGCCCGACTTGGGCGGTCGGGAAGGGGCACGTCTAAGACGAAGCCAGGACGAGGATAAAATCGGGTGCGCATAAATCGAGAACCTCTGAGATTCGGCGGCTCTGGAAGATGTCTCGGGCACCGCGACCTTCTCAGAGCGTTCTGGAACGCTCTGGAACGGATTTAACCTCGTCCTAGCCCCGTCCGAGCACGTCCGAGCTGCACCGATTGAACATGCACGGCTCCTTCATGGCGGAGGGTGGCTCGTAATCAGAGTGAGGGAGCCGAAGGGTCTTACACCATCGCGTCGGTGAAGTGGGATTCCGCGGCCCAGACTCTTCTTGTTGTTTGCTGAACTTCTGCAAGGCAAATATCCTTCAGCCCCGACACCTTGGTGCCCATGGTCTCTGGCACTTGAAATGCCCCCGGGGGGATCGCACCCTGTTTCTCACAAGGGGTCTTGCGCCTCAGACTGAGCCCCTGGCCCCCGGTTCACCCGCCTGATACTTCCTCAAGACGTATTGAGTAATCAAGTTTCAGCCAAAGACCTCCTTGACAGTTATCCAAGAATCGCACTCTCGCCTGCCTCGCAACTGACTTCGAAGCCGCGCTCTCGCCTTAGACTTCCTTTCCATCCCCTCTTGCTAACCCCTCTTGTCCTCCATCTTCTCCCTCCCTGCCTCTTGCCCTCTTCCCTCCCTCCCTCCCTTCCTCCGATCCCTTCCTCCTCGCCCTCTCCCTGTTCCATTAGTTCGGTTCTTTGTTGTGCACGGACTGCGCCAATCACACGTAACAGCATTGGAATGTATATATATATATATATATATATATATATATATACCCCAATCACGATCAAATCCGATGAGGGCGGGTATCGAGGGTTTGGGAGATACATGTTGAATGGCACTAGAACATCTCAGAGCGAACAGTCTTGAAATGACGGCTGAACTCTCATCTCCGAAGAACACGTAGCGTTGATCTCCTCTGCAAACTCACGTACATGCAGTTTCAATTGAAGTGCCCCTCCTGGGAGTCGCGTCTAATACATCCTGACAGTCGATTGAAAACCGGGCTTTTGCTGGCAACTATCAATGTATCAAAAGATCGAGCTCGTGTGGAATCTCATTTCTCATGTTACTCAAACGCCGCGCCCTCGACACTCAGGAATCACGCCCTAACCGTGGACGTCCTTATGATTTATTGAAGAATTGCGCTTTCGCAACAAAAAACGCGATTCGTACAAGACTCACGCTTCTCAACGACCCGCCCGTCTGGGCCCGCCCGCCCGAACCGCCCGTCAAGGTCCGCCCGCCCGACCCGCCAGTCTGGTTATGCCGCTTGACTGCTGGCTCCTACCTCTCCCCCCCCTCCTGCTAATCCCGCTCGTGCTCCGTCCTTGTCCCTCCACCTTGCCCCTTCCCGTCCACTCCTGTCATCCTCGCCCTGAAGTGTTTCCTGTTTTCCTCCACATCCTGTTTTAGGGACTGCGCTAGCTATACGTGGCAGGAAAAGAAAATACACCCCCAAGGGGGGTACAATTGAAGACGAAGAGGGCGGGTATCGAGGTTCAGGATACACACGCGTTGATTGGCACACGAGCGAACACAACTAAAAATGACTGAGCTCCCACTCCTGAAGAATACTTGTTGCTGGTCCCCACCGTTCGGTGGCCATTCCCCCTCCCAGGGCCCGCACCTTGTATTTACAAGGGGGGAGTCTTGGGTCTCAAAAGCTGCGCCTTTAGACCGCTCGAGCCCTCCTTAAAATTTACATCAGAATCGCGCTCTCGCGTGGGACTTCCTCCCACGTCATTCAGGCGCCACGCCCTCGAGATTCAGTAACCACGCTCTCGCCAAGAACGCCATGACGATTTACTCCAGATTGCTTACGGTAAGGAATCGCGCTCTCCTTCGAGACGTTCTTGCCCATTCACGCTCCGGACTTCCTCGCAGTGTATACAAACATCGCGATCTCGACTACGACTCCCTTGCGATTCGCGCAAGAACTTCATGCCCTGCCCGCCCAGCCCGCATGCCGGGGCAACCCGCACGACCCGCCAGCTGTGGCCCGCAGCCGAACCTCATTGCCGCTTTCATGCCCCGCCCGCCCAGCCTCCCTGTTAGGGTGGGTCCGCCTGCCCCGCCCGCCCGGGTCCCTGGTCCTCCATCTTCCCCCCTCTCCCCCTTGTCCCTTCCTTCCCCCTTCCCTCCCGCCAGTCCGGTCTTCCTCGCTCTTTCCTATTGTCGATTGTTCCCCTTCCTGTTTGAGAGGCTGCGCCAACTACGAGTGGCAAGTAAAAGAAATCGCCACCACGCCCCCTGGCACGTTGACGCGTTGACAAATCCAAAGCATGCCTGGAAAAGGTTGCTGAATTTCATACGGGGCCACCCCTCGCTCGACCCGCGGACTCTTGCGCGTTCCCCCCCGTACCCACCGAGGCCATTTCCATTCGTGCCCGCTCGTGGATGGCGCCCTTCCAACATTGCGGCGGATGCATAGTCCACCATTCGGCATGCGTCCTCTCGGGGGTGGTGCACTCCCCGCACGGGGGCGAATGTATGAGCCCCACATCCACGCGCGCCCTCTTGAAGATGGTGCCCCTCCCGCGTGGCAGCGAACGCCTGAACCTCACTTCCACGCGTGCCCGCTCGAGGATGCACTTGTTGCTGCATGGCAGCGAGTGCCTGATGTCCACGCATGCCCGCTCGAGGATTGCGCATTTCCCGCACGGCAGCGGCTGCCCTCATTCCACGCGTTCCCGCTCGAGGATAGTGCGCATCTCGCATGGCCGCTGTTGCCTGAACTCCCCCGCCCACGCGCGCCCGCTCGAAGAAGATCCACTTCCCACATGGCAGCGAGTGCCTGACCCCCATCCCACGCGTGATATCTCGAGGATGGTGCCCTTCCCGCACGGCAGATAACGCCTGAACCCTCATCGCTTGCTCGCCCGCTCGAGGATTGCAGACTTGCCGCATGGCTGCCACCTCCTAGACCCTTCATCCCACGCGCATCCGCCCGAATATTGCGCGCGCCCCACATTCGCAGGCGCTGCTCCGACGCCGCCCCACGGCCTGTCGGCCTGCGTGGGCAAGTCCATGGGCCCGCGCACGCAACCCAAGACGCAAATGCTGCCCAGGATGCCTCGATGGCAGCCCAATATGGCCACAAGGCGGCCCAATATTGCTTTAAGACGGCCCAAGGTGCATATTCTTTCTGTCTTGCTCATGGGCGCCATGTCCGAAGGAGAGCACTGACCTCGCTGCAACTTACCAAAATGAGCTAGACTTCTCAATTGTCCTGGAAGTGGTCCCCTCAAGGGGCCCATCCCACGAAGCCGACGCAATCTGCTAAAAGATGCGGCAAGCACTCGGCCAAATACCGCGCAGACCCCAACAGGGCGAGCCCGCTGCACGCAGCGCCCCGCGGGCTCGGCTGGCCTCGAGCACGCGGGCCCCCGCCTGAGCTGACACCTTTCTTTCGACCGCTCGAGCGACCGGTCTTCTTCGCGCCACCTCTGCCGCGACGCTGCCCCCTCGGGGCGTTGATCGTCGGGGGCCGCCCCAGAAAAACCGAAGAGCTGGGGGGGAACTGCCGCGCGCTCCGATTGCGAGGCGGAGATGGAGGAATGCGGGCAGCGGGGGCAGGAGGGAAGGGGAATCTTCTCGCCAGCAGCTCGGCCAGACCCGAGCTGGTTCGCAAGGCTGCCAAGAGCCGCGAGCCATCTTGCCGCGGCGCCCCCCCCGCGCGCTGGCCGGGCGCCCTCTCGCAGGGCCCGCGAGGCGGACCTCCGATCAACCTCTGCCCGCCCACGAACTCCGCGAGCTCGGCGAGCCGCTCCAGGGCCGCGCCCCCGCGAAGGCGACGCGGGCCCACGTGCCACATCAGAGTGCACATCGACGTCGCGCCCTCCTCTTTCTTGTGCACCTTCACCCCGAGGTGTCCGATCAGCTGGCTGCCCCCGTTCGCCGTCTCGCACTTTCCCAGCGCCTCGCTGAAGAACTGGAGCATTTCGGCGACGCGCTCGGCCCCTTCCCGCGGCGACGCGCCCGCGGCTGGCACCCCCGAAGCTCCGCGACCGAATGCTGCCGCGAATGCCTGGGCGTGAGCCGCGTCCTCTGCCTCGCGGCCCACGCTCCCCGCTGCCTTTTCCTTTGCCTCGAGCGCGGCCGGGCCCTCGTTGCACTTCTTGCCCGCTGCCCGGCGGCGGCTGGGGGCTCGAACATCGCGTGGAGAAAAGCGCCCAGGTCGCCAATGCCATCCGCCGTGGCCGGGGCGAGCTACGCCGCTGGCAGTGCGATGTCGCCCTGGCGGTAACTGATGCATGCGTCAGCGGGCGCGATAACGGCGCGGGAGGTTACGAGCGCGACGCGCCGACATTATGCGCGAAGAAAACGTGGGGCCCTGGAAAGAACTAGCACCGCATTCAATTCTAGTTGGGCTGCGCCTGCACGCGAAGGCATCCGCTGAGCCCCTCTCTGGTGGAGGAGCAACCGACAGCGGAGACACATCATCGAATCCCGGAGGCGGGATCCTCCTGCCGAGCTTTCGACTTCCTAGCTCCGCAAAGTCAATGTTTGAAATGGCCCATCGCTTGCGTATCCGCGAAGAAGGACACATGAGATGCCATTGGCTCGATCACGCAATCAGACAACAACTCGACGACTTGGTCAACGCCCCGAGGCATTTGCTGCATCCGCGGAAAGGCAAACTGCGATGGGCGTCCTGCGACAATCTGCGGCCTGGCGTCAAACTCGAACGTTCCGAGCAGACCGACCAGGACCTGGGCGCCGCGTTCAGGACGTTGACCCCGAATCTGGAAAAAGTTCCAGGCGCCGCGTCCCCACCTCCCGGCTAGATGGTGAGATCTTCCAAAACCACAACAGTAACTTTGTCAGCGCAGCTCGGAATTCCCCCCCCCGCCATCGCTGCCCCCCTCTAATCTTCCCAATAACGAACACAAAATATCACAGTCGTTCTTGGACAGGGAAAGCTCTCGAGTCCAGAT